CAGCCAGTTTCTTAGGATCCACTGTGGGATGGACCTTTACAAGAGATCCTTCCTGCCTACAGCCATCAATATCTATAACATCTCTTAATGAAATGAGGATAACAAGTTACAACAACAAATAATTTCCCTTTGGGATTAATAAAGTATTTTTGAATTGAATTGAATTGAACAAAGAAACACTGAATGCCTTTAGGAATGCTACATTAGAGTTGCTGTCTTAAAAAATGACATCTTTTGAATTACACTGAAAAAACTATTATTTTCAGAAAAAAGAATGAAATGCGACCATAAAAACAGCTTTACAGGACTTGTTGGTAAGACTCCATTTCAACACATAAGTCAATAATTCTAGACATTTTTGGTCTAAATAACATCTCATAGTTGTATCTTATTAAGAGCCCAATTTCAAAATAAAATGCAACATCTACTAGTTTTGCCACTGGAATTGCGTCAACCCACACTGTTAAAAAAACAGACACTGAATTAGTTTTTTAAACGTTAAAGACCACCCAGAATAATCTGAGACATTTAAAACTAAATTCCACATTGAAAAGTTTAAATAATCTCTGACTGCATGACTGGGATCCACTCACCTCCTCTGGATTCTTTTATCACCCACCTGACCCAGTTTAGGCTCACAGCTAACTCCACCAGTCAACAAGAGTGACCCACAGATCCAGAGATGATCAAGTTCCTCTGCAGTAGAACATTTGGGTGCAATACCTAACACTGTACCAGTTCCTTTACTGGTTTATACCCTGCAAGTATAAGATAACATGTCACTTCATATTGCAACCTGGTAACTGGTACATAACTGGTACATACCTGATATATTACTGGTACATATCAGATATATAACTGGAACATACCTGATATATTACTGGTACATACCTGATATATAACTGGTACATACCTGATATATTACTGGTACATATCAGATATATTACTGGCACATACCTGATATATTACTGGTACATATCAGATATATTACTGGTACATACCTGATATATTACTGGTACATACTTGATATATAACTGGAACATACCTGATATATTACTGGTAAATACCTGATACATAACTGGTACATACTAGATATATAACTGGAACATATCAGATATATTACTGGTGTACATACCTGATATATTACTGGTACATATCAGATATATTACTGGTACATACCTGATATATTACTGGTACATACTTGATATATAACTGGAACATACCTGATATATTACTGGTACATACCTGATATATAACTGGAACATACCTGCTATATTACTGGTTTAAAATTGGTACATACCTGGTATATAACTGGTACATACCTGGTATATAACTTGTACATAGCGTTTACATGGTATATAATTGGTTCGTAACTACATAATACTTGGCTGTATTATGTATTGCTACCATTCCTATTAGGTCCTTGAGCAAAGGCGTATAATTTCTTACATTAATATATTTTTTTAGATCCTCTAAGTCGTGATTTTAAAATGCCATTCTCGTGTTAATATTGCAACCTGAGATTCATTTTTTTAAACTCAATTTTCTGGTATTGTACAAAAGACTGTGATTGTAGCTTCACTTTTCACCTAACCACATTAAAGATGAGGTGAACTAACCCTGGCACAGACACAACATCAGGTCCCAGAATAAGAACATTTTGATACTGACAGAGGCTATACTGTAGTTTGGAAATAGTAAACACTATAAATGTCCTGTTTCATAAACATTTGGACTTGATTCCGTTTTTGATGCTGCTGTCAGACAACTGTGCTTATGTCATCAGCTTCGTCAGGTTTCTTGGGCTTACTGGGAAGAGACTTGAGGTACTCCAGGTGGCGTCGGGCATCCTCTTGGTTTTGACGGACATAATACACCACATATGAAATGACCATAGCAAACCAGCAAAACATGGTGACCAGCATTGCGTAGTCTGTGGTCCTTTTAGCCAGATTGCACAAGTCAGTATCCACCGCCATGACAGGCCGTCCCTCCAGATCAAAAAGATCAGAGCTCCCGCAGACAACCCGGGACGCCACCTCATGGTTGTGGGCCACCCCACCAGCACCCTGCTGGAGGGCACACTCACAATGCCAGGGGTTATCGTGCACAATAATGCGGGCTCTCAGCTTAGTGAAAGCGTTCTTGTGAACATTAATGATGTGGTTGTGTGAAAGGTCCAGCACCTGTAAAGTCCCATCAATGCCATTGAAGGCATCCTCCCCTAAAGTCTCCACTGCATTGTAAGAAAGGTTCAGCTCTCTCAGGCGCTTGAGTTCATAGAAGGCTTTCTCCGGCACAGCTCTGATCTGGTTGTGGTCCAACCTCAGCAGGACGGTGTCATCTGGAAGGTTAGCAGGAATCTCCTTGAGACTGGACTGACTGCAGGTAACATTGAGGCCATGGAGATGGGGGTCACGTAGACAGCTGCAGCCCTTTGGACACATGCTGGCTGAGGGGAAGCACAAGGCCATAAGAACAAGACTCTGAAGGAGCAGGCACATGGGGATGGAGCGGGACAGCCACAAGTCCAGCAGAGTCATACTGAGCGGCTGTAAGTAGCATCCCGTCTGGGGCCACAACACCACCACTGGTTTCTTACACACATGGCATAGTGGCAACTGGTTCTCAGTTCACTCGCTGCAGATCCTGGAACACATACAGATGACACTGTGCTGTGGCCTGGAATGACATAAAACAGAATGGTATGGTAAATTGTAAATGCACTGTACTTATATAGCGCCTTTCTATCTAATCAAGATACTCAAAGCTCTTTACAACAATCTGTGCCTCATTTACCCATTCATACAGCACTCTACTAGATCTCTACAAAGCTAATTGAACAAATCATTCTAAAGAGACTAATCAGTGATTTATCACATTCATACACTGATGGGACACACATCGGAGGCGATGAGGGGTTCAGTGTTTTGCCCATGAACACTTCAGCATGTGACTGCTGAATTCGAACCCCCAACTCTTGCATTGGAGGACGACTGCTCTAACCACTCAGCCACCGCCACCCCAGAGTAGGCATGTTATCCATCCTGTTTTCATCAGTAAATCAGTTCCACTTCCAATTTAATTACACTTTTGTTTAAATTCCTCAAAGGAACAAAGCGTTGTGCATTAACAGGGCCAGATTAACACTTCACTGTACCCTGGGCAATAATCTTCAAGGGCCCCATCATCACGACCAGAATCACCATAATCTGTCAAAATACAGAATAAATTACCATAATATACAGTAAATATACTTAAAATTCTAACTATCAAGTGTATTTTGATGTTTAAAAATCCATATGATCATAGAACTATAAATGCTATGTCCTCTTGTTGACGCAAATCATAAAGACTGAGTTAATTTGAATGCACTTTGAACACACCATACGACATCACGTGTACTTGTTTAGCAACATGCTGGCCACTGTTGTCAGAAGTATTTGTAATGGGGGGGTCTGGGGGTCCTCCCCCAAAAAATTTTGAAAAAAGTAGATGCCATTTCCTGCATTCTGGTGTATTTTAATGGTTGTTTAACATCTAGTTTTACCTACATAAGTAAACTTGATTCAGTAACCATTGTAGAGTTAATGGCACAACAAGAAGTATCCTGACCAACAGCTGATTCAATTAATTAAAAATATTATATATTCAAAGGTGATGGTTTGATGCCCACATTAAATTGAAATGACTGTAACTTAGTTGACTTCAAATGCAATAAGATTATCAATGAATGTTTGCAACAAAGATTCCTTCAAGAAACCTCCCATTATAAATCATAAAACCAGAATGACTTCTGCTCATTCTAAATTTGTCAAATGGCCTAAATCTCATAAAGTGAAGGAGAATCGTTTTAAATAATAAATAAGATATATCCTGTAGTCATGTTTCTTGAAATAAGATTTAAATTTGAGGTTGATTTGTGTGCCTTTTGTAAATCAGAAGATGAATCCATCGAGCATGTTTTATTTTATTTTATTCATGTCAATACAAAGTGTTTGGTCAGACATCAGAAACTGGATTAATCTCAAACTTAACATTCCTTCTTTTCATGCTGATGCCATTTTACTTTATGTGTGTAAGGGTCCCACTGCCTGCAGCCTGCCTTGATGATGGCCGCTGATTAACAACACCTGGCGGTCATCAGCCTGATGAGCCTCTCCATCTACAAAAGGCTGCAGCCCAGTGTGACTCATCGCTGGAGCATATCACCTCTCATGGTATAGTACTGTTGAGCTAGATATGTCTAGGTGAAAAGAATTTGTTCACCTGTGTTCTCTTTTCCAGTTTCCTCGTTCCTCGTGTTTTTGGATCTCCTCGTGACCTGATCTGGATTCCTCGGCCTGTCAGGTATTCCTCGTGCCATTTTTGCCTCCAGTTGCCAGCCTTCCTCGTTCCCTTGGACCCTCGTTGGATTTCCCTCCGCTGCTCACTCCTTGGACTGAAGGACCAGCTCCCCTCCTTCGGATTTGGACTGTAAGGACAAAAACGCTCTTCAAACAAACCACTCAGGTCTTCCCCTCTGGACCAACATTAACCTGTCGCCCTTCTTTCCAGGAGTTGCAGAGAAGCAGCATGTGGAGTAATTTTCACTGTAAATAAATAAACACTGTTCTTTTGTACTTCCCCTGTGTCTGCCTCGTTCTGGGTCTCATACCATCTGGGTTCCTCGCGCAATCCTAACAGAAATGCTCCAGCCACAAAAGAACCAGAATGAGAACAAGAGCGAGCAGACAACCCCCGGTTCCCCGGAGGAACGGATCGACGGGTTGGATAAAGTTTTACAGCAGGTGCTGACTCACCAAACCACAGTCCAGTCCAACCTTCAGGAGCTCGGGGGTATGATTTATTCCATTAAACGTCAACTGCAAGCTTCTTCCTCCTCAGCTCCAGTCGTTTCGCCAGCCCCCGTGGCTCCTGGTTCCATTCCTCCTGTTCAACAAATATTTATTAAAACCTCTGAGTTCTTCACCGGAGACCCTGACCAATGTGGCAGCTTCTTGCTGCAGTGCAGACTCGCCTTCGAGGGGCTCCCTCTCAGTTCTCCTCGGACGCGGCCAAGATCACCTTTTTCATGAGTCAGCTCAAGGGTAACGCTCTCCGGTGGGCTCACTCATTTCTCCTGAGCCAAGAAAATCCCTCTCCAACCTATGAACTATTTCTGCATGAGTTTCGTAGGATTTTTGATCGCCCCCTGCAGACGTCGAACGCCGCCAAGCGTTTGTTGAATTTACGACAAGGCCGCCGTAATGCTTCTGAGTTCGCCCTGGAGTTTCGGATCCTTGCTGCCCAAACAGGATGGGACGAATCTACCCTCCAAGGTATTTTCTTAAACTCTTTATCTGATTTTCTCAAAGACCAGATGGCTACGCGAGACGAGCCCGAGACTTTCGACAAGTTAATAGACCTTGCCATCTCCATCGATGGCCATTTCCGGGAAAGGAGGAGAGAGGCAAACTACAATTCCCATCGATCCCCGACTTCCGGGTTTCCGACTTCTCCAGGTGAGCCCAAGTCTGCACCTTTGTACTACACTTCCCAGAATCCTCCCACTTCCGGGTTCACGACCCCTTGCCACGAGTCCGTTTCACCCAAGCAGCCTCCCTTGAACTACAACTCCCAGTCCTCCATGCTTCCTGGCCTCAACCAATCATCTTCTTTTTCTCCAGGGGATCGCTCACCCGAGCCTATGCAGGTGGGGCGCGCACGGCTGACTCCTGCAGAGAGACAGCGGCGTGTATCCGCCCGTCTCTGCATTTATTGTGGTAACCCCGGTCATTTTCTGCCCCACTGTCCGTTTCGGGGAAACAAGAACTTCCACCAGTAAAGCGGGAGTTACTGGTGGGAACTTCTGCGTTAACCTCCCCATTTAAACTGTTGCTTCCCATGGTCATTCAGACTCTTGACCATTGCTTTTCGTTCTCTGCTCTCATCGACTCGGGTGCTGAACAAAACCTGATTAGTGCTAATTTAATTAGAGAACATTCCTTGCCTACTCGTGAGGTTCCTCCGATTTCTGTCGCCGGCCTAACCGGAGACACATTGACCCGTATTAATCAGAAGACCACCGATTTGCATGTCATCATCTCAGGTAACCATCATGAGATGACTGATTTCTTTGTGTTCAACTCTCGTACGCCTCAGATAATTCTAGGTTTCCCCTGGCTTCGTAACCATAACCCTGTTATTAATTGGGAACGCGGCTGCGTTGATAAATGGAGCGACAAGTGTCTCAGTAACTGTCTTCGCTCTGCCATCAACGAGTTCCCTCGGGACACGCCTCCTCTAGAGGAGATCGACCTCACCTCTGTTCCTGCTGAATACCGTGACCTAGCGGCAGTCTTTAGCAAGCAACGCACCTCGTCTCTTCCTCCTCATCGTCCCTATGACTGCTCGATTGACTTATTACCTGGCGCCCCCTTGCCGTCAAGTAGACTTTATAATCTTTCAGGTCCCGAAAGGGAATCCATGTCTAATTATATTAATGAATCCCTTGCCTCAGGTATTATTCGACCCTCGACCTCCCCTTTGGGAGCTGGTGTCTTTTTCGTTTCAAAAAAAGATAAGACTCTCAGGCCGTGCATTGATTACTGCGGATTAAACAATATAACTATAAAAAATAAGTATCTGCTCCCCCTCATTGACTCGCTGCAGGAACAATTACAGTCGGCTTCTTGTTTTACGAAACTTGATTTAAGAAACGCCTACCATCTCGTGCGTATTAAGACAGGTGACGAGTGGAAAACTGCTTTTCACACTCCTTTGGGTCACTTTGAATATCTGGTTATGCCCTTTGGGTTGACCAACGCCCCCGCGGTTTTTCAGGCGCTCGTCAACGATGTCCTGCGCGACTTTATAGGTAATTTTGTTTTCGTCTACCTCGATGACATTCTTATTTTTTCTCGCGACCCCACTCAGCACACTACTCACTTCCGCACGGTTCTTCAGCGGTTGTTGGAGAACCAGTTGTTCGTTAAGGCAGAGAAGTGTGAGTTTAATACCGCCACTGTCTCCTTCCTGGGTTTTATTTTCGAGGGCGGACGTTGTCGAACCGACCCCGAGAAGACCAGGGCTGTAGTCGACTGGCCGACCCCCGAGTCCAGGAAACAGTTACAACGTTTCCTGGGCTTCGCAAATTTTTACAGGCGTTTTATTAAGGATTATAGTCGTGTCGCCACCCCCTTGTCTCAGCTCACTTCTACTGCCCGTGCTTTTTACTGGACCCCAGAGGCTGAGGCCGCCTTCAAGAGGCTCAAGCCCCTCTTTTCCTCCATACCCATCCTCTGCCATCCAGACCCCACGCACCAGTTCATTCTGGAGGTGGATGCCTCTGACACTGGAGTAGGGACGGTTCTTTCTCAACTATCACCTGCAGACAACAAAGTTCATCCCTGCGCCTTCTTTTCCCGACGTCTCTCTCAATCGGAGCGCAATTATGACGTGGGCAACCGCGAGCTGTTGGCGGTCAAGCTCGCGTTAGAGGAATGGTGGCACTGGTTGGAAGGCACAGAGATCCCTTTTTTGATTTGGACCGACCACAAAA